CTTTACTACTCTTTGTTTTCATCTTCCCCCTCCCTGGTTTTCTAAGTATTTTATTTTTTACTTCCTCTCTCTCTCTTTTTTTTTTTTTTCTTCTACAGATTCATTTTCCTGTCCATTTTTTCTCATTTTAGCTATCCTTTTGTTGTTGTTGTTGTTGTGAAGTGCCATCAAGTCAGTTCCAACCCATTGCGACCCTGTATAGGGTTTCCAAGGAGCAGCTGGTGAGCTTGAACCACTGACCTTGCAGTTCAAATGGCTATTCTTAGGAGTCTTTAAATTTTATTACTCTTATTTTCTCTTCTATAGCTCTAGTTCCCCTGTCCCTCTTTTGTCTTTATACCTATATATTTTTTTCCTGGTTGCTGTCTGCAACTTTACTATTTTCTCTTTTCATTGCTGGCCCATCGTTTGTTTATTCTGTTTTGGTTTAGTATGTGTGTGTTGAGAGAAAGGGTTTTCTCTTTCCCAAGACAGCACCTGTGCCCATATAGTACAGAACAACTGTACTCTTGTAGCTCCACCCACTGAGCAAGAGTCAATACCAGCACTTATACCACCTGCTCCATGATAAGGCAACAGCCAACAGAAGCCAAACCAGCCAAACTGAGATGCTCCAACAGAGAACGTGAAAAGTGTATATGCTTCCATTCTCTAACTACACCCACAAGGAACTGCTGGCAAGAGTATAAGAACACATCAACATACAATCATCAATTAAATACAAATACAACAACTCCACAATGCTTCCAAGATAACAGACAATTTCAGCTAACAGAAAGACACATCAGAGAAAGGCTCAAACAAATGACCAACAGAAAAGGTTTCTAAGGAAAAAAGGTTATGTAACTAATTGAAAAATAAGTCAAAATAATTATATTTAGGTACTTTCAAAGGACTGTTAAAAAGATCAAGGAAAGAAAGGAGAACACAGAAAAAACTTCAGAAGAATTCAGGAAAACAATACGAGTATAGGCAGACAAAATAAATGCAAATTTTGAAACAATACAAAACCTGCAATTAGAAATCCAGAAGATTAATTCTAAGATTTCATAAATGGACAATACATTGAAAGGGCAAATCAGTAGATTCAAAACAATGGAAGCATGAGTTAGTCAGTTTGAAGATAAATCTGTCAATACTATGCTAGAAAATCAGAAAAAAGGATGATAAAATCCTAAGAAAGCCTAAGAGTTATGTGGGATATAATGAAAAGGAACAACAGGAGTTATTGGAATTCCAGAGCAAAAAGAGACAGTAAAAAGCACAGAGAAAACTGTTGAATAGTTGTTGTAAGAAAACTTCCCTCACATGAAAGAAGAGAAGCATACAAAAACTGAACGAACCCCAAACAGGATAGAGTCTAAAAGAAAATCACCAAGACATATCATAATCAAATTTTATAATATAATACACCACCACCCAGAAAACAATCAAGATACGTTGTTGTTGTTAAGTGCTGTAGAATCAGTTCTGACTCATATCGCTTCTATGTACAACGAAACACTGAACTGTCCCATGCCAGCCTCACATTTGCTGCTAAACTTAAGCCCATTGTTGCTGCAACTAAGCCAATACTTCTCATTGGAGGTCTACTCGTTTTTTGCTGACCCTCCCTTGACCAAACATGATGTCCTGCTCCAGAGAGACTCGTCCCTTCTGATAATATGTTCTAACTATGAGAGACAAAGTCTGGACATTCTGGCATCTAAGGAGCATTCGGGTTGCACTTCTTCCAACAAAGATTTGTTTGTTCTTCTGGCAGTACATGGTAATTTTAATATTTTTTTTTAATGTTTTATTGTGAATTATATGATAGTTTATATGGGGGAACTTTAGCTTTACATTCATTCCTTCTTATATCATCTCACTGCCATGGTTCCAATCCCCTCCACGCATCATCAACCACCCAAAGGGTATATCCCAGAAACCCGCCCCCTACACTTCTCCCTCCTCCCCCCAGTTTTCGGCCCACAGTCCCTTTCCCTCTCTGGGTCCAAAGTCCCCAGTCGCTTCATCACTTCACATCATCATCTCTGTCTCCATCTCAGGCATTTCTGTTTCTCTGGGTAGGGTCCTGCTCTCAGCTCTTCTCCGTTGATGGTCCCAGAGGGCTCTGCTCCTATCCTGGTGAATTAATCACTCCCTTCCTTGCTACAAAACTTCCACCTTTTCATTTCCAACCCTCATAATCCGTCCTGATAAGCATTATTCACTACAGTATCATGAGTTAATATTCTTCTTCAACATCATAATTCAAACACGTAAATTCTTCTACTGTCTTCCTTATTCATTGTCCAAATTCCACATGCATATGAGGCTACTGAAAATACCATGGCTTTGGTACGGCCCACTTTAGTCCTCAAACTAATATCTTTGCTCTTAAACATTTTAAAGAGGCCTTGTACAGACTTGCCTAATGCAATATGTCATTTGATTTCTTGACTGCTTCTTCCATCTGTGTTGATGGTGGATCCGAGCAAACTGAAGTCTTTAACAACTTCAAACTTTTCTCCATTTATCATGATGACATTTACTGGTCCAGTGGAGAAGATTTTTGTTTCCTTTACACTGAGGTGTAACTTGTACTGAAGGGTGTGGTCTTTGATCTTCATCAGTAAGAATTTTAAGTCCTTTTTGCTTTCAGCAAACAAGGTATTACCATCTGCATATCACAGGTTGTTGTCTTCCTTCAATCCTGTTGCTTTGTTCTTCATATAAGCCATCTTCTTAGATTATTTGCTCAGCATACAGATTGAGTAAGTATGGTGAAAGAATACAACCCTGGCAAACAACTTTCCTGTTTTGAAATCATTCAGTGTCCCCATGTTCTGTTGAAATGACTGCCTCTTGGTCTATGTACAGATTCCTCATGAACACAATTTTTTACAGAATACTCATTCTCTGCAATGTTGTCCCAGAGTTTGTCATGATATACACAGATGAAAGCCTTTTCATAGTCAATAAGACATAGATATATATCTTTCTCTGCAATTCATAAGGTTTTCAGTGACTAAATATTCGGAAGTAGTTTGTCACCCTTTCTTCCTAGTCTGTCTTCACGTGGAAGCTCATCTGAAACCTGTCCACCATGGGTGACTCTGCTGGTATTTAAAATACTGGTGGCAGAGCTTTCAGAATTACAGCAACTCATAAGCCACCACAGTATGACAAGCCGAAAGATGAGTGGTGGTCTCATCTGACAAAGAGAGGTGACCCAAAGGAATGTGGAAATCATTGGACAATCTCTTTGATATCCCATGTGAGTAAAGTTTTGCTAAAGGTAATACAGAAATGGCTACAATCATACATTGACAGAGAACTTCCAGAGGTTCCAGCTGGATTCAGAAGAGGCCGTGGAACGAGGGATATCATTGCTGATAGCTGACTGATCTTGGCTGAAAGCAGAGAATATCAGAAGGATGTTTACCTGTGCTTTATTGACTATACAAAGGCTTTTGATTGTATGGATCAGGACACGATATGGACAACATTGAGAAGTATGAGTACTCCAGAACACTTCATTGTGCTCATGAGGAATCTGTACCTGGACCAAGAAGCAGTTGTTTGAATAGAACATGGGAACACTGAATGGTTTAAAATTTAAAAAGGTGTGCAACAAGGTTGTATTCTTACACCCTATTTATTCAACCTGTATGCTGAGCAAATCATCTGAGAAGCTGGGTTATATAAAGAAAAACATGGCATCAGGATTGGAGGAAGACTCACTAACAACCTGCGATATGCAGATGATACAACATTGCTTGCTGAAAATGAAGAGGATTTAAAATATTTACTGATGAAGATCAAAAAGCACAGCCTTCGGTATGGATTACATCTCAATGTAAAGAAAACAAAAATCCTCACTACTGGACCAATAAACAACATTCTTATCAACGGAGAAAAGACTGAAGTTGTCAAGGACTTCATTCTTCTTGGATCAACTATCAACACTCATGGAAGCATAAATCAAGTAATCAAACGATGTATAGCATTAGACAAATCTGCTGCACAAGACCTTTTTAAAGTGTTGAAAGGCAAAGATGTCAGCTTGAGGACTAAGGTGCGCCTGACCCAAGCTATGGTGTTTCCAATAACCTTATATGCATGCGAAAGCTGGACAGTGAATAAGGAGGACCGTAGAAGAATTGATGCGTTTGAGTTATGGTGTTGGAGGAGAATACTGAAAGTGCCATGGGCTGCCAAAAGAACCAAAAGATCCATTTTGGAAGAAGTGCAGCCAGAATGCTCCTTGGAGGCCAAATTGGCCAGACTTCATCTCTCATACTTCGGACATATTGTCAGGAGAGACCAGTCACTGGAGAAGGATATCATGTTTGGTAAAGTGGAGGGTCAGAGAAAAAGAGGAAGACCCCCAATGAGATGGACTGGCCAAGTGGCAGCATCAATGGACTCAAGCATGGCAACAGTAGTGAGGTTGGCCCAGGATCGGGCAGTGTTTCGTTCTGCTATGCATATGGGTCGGTGCCGACTCGACGGCACCTAACAACAACAAATACATATTTTTGGTATTCTGTTTGTTTGATTTGCTTATATAAAAGTTGACCAGTAGCACATTTCCAAGTTCTAAGAAAAGGTTGATTTGAAATTTTAAGTAAAATTGACTTAAAGGTACCTCAGTTGAACTAAAAAACAATGATAAAAACTGATATTTAATAAAAGCTGAAATAGTACAATATTTTAAAACCTTTGGATTTTACCCTTTAGAAACATAGTAGAAGGATAATCTGTTTCATTGTTAGTTACTTTTAATCAAAGACTGTTCTATTTCTGTATTTAATCTTAGTGGAATGAGAAAACTAAGGTAAAAGATGTTTATCAAATTATACTTTTAATTATTTGTGTTTGCAGGACCTTTTGTGATAAAATACTTCAATATTCTCTCTTTTGTATTTTTCAACACATCATAAAGAACCTTGAATTCAGCAAAGTTTGTTGAAGACAATGACAACTGAGGTTTCAACAGCATATAAAATCAGTACCTCCTGTGTGTTCCTCATGGATGCATGACTTTATAGGTGCTTCTGCCTCTGACCTCCAAATCAGGCTGGCAGATGACTGTGCTTTACTAGATCTATCAAGAATCCCAAGGACATGACGACCAATTGTTTCTTCCACAGCTGCGGTTGTCTTTACAACTTCTAAGAGGATCTTCAAAAGTCTGTTATTAGCTTTCTGAAGTGCATACCTGTACAGATGAACATATTTATTAAAATGCTTTAACCTTTTTAAAGCAAACACTTTGCTAATGTCCCATAAAAAACTGCACTGCAAAATAATTCATACAAAACATAAAAATATATGATCCCCTACTATAATAATAGGAGCTCTGGTAGCGTAGTGGTTACGAATCGGGCTGCGAACCTTAAGGTTAGCGGTTCGAAACTACCAGCTGCTCCACGGGAGAAAGATGAGGCTTTCTACTCCCGTAAAGATTTACACCCTCAGAAACCCTGTACAGGGTTGCTATGGGTTGGAACTGACTTGACGGCACTTAACAACAACAACTATAATAATATGCAACAGCACTGGAATGAAGTGCTGGGGTTTTGTTGTTTTTTTTTATATTACAAAATGTATTTCTTTTGAAAATTTTTGATTGGTCACTAAATTATAACATTAAAAAAAAAAGTGCAGCATTTTATTTACTGTTGTGTGCCGTTGAGTCGATTCCGATTCATAATGACCCTCTATAGGGTTTCCAAGGAGTGACTGATGGGTCTGAACAGACAACTTTGTGGTTAGTTGTTGTTGTGAAGTGCTGTCGAGTCAGTTCTGACCCATAGAGATCCTGTATAGGGTTTACTAGGAGCAGCTGGTGAGCTTGAACCACTGACCTTGCAGCTCAAATGGCTTTGCAGGCTGGCACCCAAAGAGCCACACTAGGACTCCTTGTAGTCAGTAGTACAGAGTGTATTATGAAGTGCCACACCAGTCTCTAGGACGATGCCAAATAACTAAAATTTTAAGTAATAGAGTTTATACATTAGAAGAAAATGCTGGGAAGATACAAAAATTTAAATTTTAAAAAATTTAAAAAGTGTGTGTTATGCAAGCAGATTAAGTTACTGTGCTGTTCTTGGGTATTCATAATTATATATACAGGACTTCAGAACGTTCATGGCAAAACTGAATTAATAGTTAATGGAATTTTCCCATAATCTTTTTGAAGCCCCCTTGTATAATATAAATCATATTATATTGATTATATATCACTGTGTAAGTGTGCATATGTTTAGTTCATCTTTTATCTTTTGTGTTATATTTTAAGATATAATTTTACAATTCCATCAGAAAAAAAACACATGATAGTATTTCTACAACTTCATGACAATGATCTAGCTGTCTAAATGACAAGACTAGGTTGGCAGAGATCTGTTTTTACAAAGGTTTTCAGTACACCTTTGAATGCTGTGGTTGTCGTAGAAGCACTGTCTGTGAACCACGAGGGTTGTGGTTTGATACCACACAGAAGAAAGATGAGGCTTCCTGCTTTGGCAAAGATTCATAGCCTCAGAAACCCTATACAGGGTCACTATGAGTCGGAAGGCACATGACTTGACTGACGGCTCTCAACAACAACACAACAATAGTGCAACTTCACACACTAGTGACACCAGTGGGAATATCATGGACTGTTTTCTTTACATTTGTTCCAGAGACACAAGTTTCTCAAGTTACACATACCACGCTCATTTCAATCAGTAGAAAGCCTTTCCTGTTTTCATTTAAATGGAACTATGGTATGTCTCTCTTTTAAAATACAAGTAATATATTGTTAGTTTTTAAAAAATTAGAAAACATTGCTAACCACCTCTTAAAAAAATCTCAGCACGCAGAAATTATCATTGTCAGCATTTTTGTCCTATCCCAGACCCTCCCAATTCCAAATCAGTCTCTTTCATAAATACATACATTTTAAAACAAAAACTGGATTAACCTAGAAAAACAGTTTTGTAATTAAATCTTTTCATGTCAAGAAATATATTCCTACAAATGAGTCAGAAGATTAAATGGTTAATCTTTTGAATAAGTACACAACTCCATCTTCCCAACACCTTAATTCAACAAAGACACTCCAACAGCAAACTTTACGTTTAATACATGCAGACAAAACAAGAGTTTCATGGTAATGGTCCTCCAAGAGTTTTCTCTCTTAACAGTATGTTGTCAGAGATCACCAACAATTGGGTTACAGAATATCAGTTTTCAAAGGCACATGACATCTTATTTTAAGACAAGGTAATAAACGGAGAGGTTTTCCTTCAGTATTTGTCAAGTCAAAGAGACAGTTCTATTTTTGTACCTAGATCAAGTTCCCTGCTTTCATAAACAACGATATTAAAAATAAAACTACATAATTTAATTAGTAGGAAGTCAAGGGTTTTATTTCCTTAACTTTTCTATAAATTGTGTTCTAGCCCCAAACCCCAGGACTAGGTAATTTGAAAATATTTCTATATATAAGTTTTAAAATGTTATTTTATTAGCACTTATTAGAAAAATTCATTAAACACACCATAATTTTATAATCATACCAATTAGATATAAATAATACAAAATAAACAATATAAAATAAACATTGTTTATTTTATGTTGTCATGGTAACTCTAATTTTCGTACACTGTCTTTATTGTTTGAATTCCATACTGACTGTGTTCCATACTGATGATCCAATGAGGAAGCCAAAATCTTAGGGGCCAAATTCCTCCATGCAAGCTGAGGAAGGAGGTTTGGAGAACACAAAAAGATTGACAGTCACAGAAGTTAGAAAAGGAGGAAATTATGTTAGCAGAGAAGCAGTTTCTGTTTTGAATTATTCTCATTTGAATAAAACAAATTTTTAAATATTGCACTGAAGTCCTAAATACAATATATTTACCCTGACAAAATTCAAAGTAAGAAAAAATTTTGTCACCATAAGATGCTGAAAATTTTCATATAAAATACTGGATTAAAAGTTGTCATTGGCTATGCAGTAAATATATGAAAAATGTTAAATGTGGAACATTCACATTTATAGCAATTTTTTCCTCAGCATAAACAAACTAGGGGGTAACTTACACTGAATGTATGCGCATATAGTGAAGAAATAACAACAATAAAATGAAGAAAGGTTCAGCATTCAAGCAATACCTTACTATTGACTGATTTAAGTATATGATCAATATGTCCGAACAAAAATTACTCTATATACAAAGGATTTTCAAAGTTTTTCTTATTTAATGATTAAAAACTGATTACCCTTTACATATTATATATATAAATACATATATATATACATATTTATATATAACTGACTTGACAGCACTTAACAACTATATATGTATACATATATATACATATATACATATATGTGTGTATATGTATATATATGAACATGTTTCAAACACAGAGTAAAGATTTTTTAAGACAAAGTAAAAATGTATGAAAATAAGGACAAAAAGTTTAAGACATCAAACTAATTTTAATTCCCTTTGTACTAAAAAAGTACATATTCTGTATACCTTTCATTGGATTGAATATCAGGAAGCACGTCTTCAGGTTTTTTGTCCAATTCTTTTTCTTTAAAGATCTGTTCCTCAACTTCCCCTTGGCTTTCACTTCCATTCTGCTTAAGTTTGTGTAAAGGAAGAGAGGACACAACAGAAAGAAAACCTGTCATCTTGGAAATAGCATGCCATTCATCTGTATTACTACTGAGGTAAAACAGAAATGTCCGTACACAAAATAGGTACTGTCTGAAATAATATTTAACTATATATTCTATTAAGAGATTGGTGTTATCAAGAAAAGATAAAACATTCTGGTATAGAGATTGATAAAAATTTTTGATGACTCAAGCATGCGACAGTGCTACAATAAAAGTTGTTAGGTGGCTCCTTAGTGGAGCCACAGTTGGCTGCCATGGCAATATCATATTCAAATTACCTGTAATGGAATGTAAGGCATTTCAACTCCACCTACCTTACATATAAGCAATCACGAAGATGTTAAGCTCAATACCTATGAAAAATAAATATCACGCCAACAACAAAGACAAACAAATCCTACTGCAGTGTTGACCCATTGTTCCTAGCTGGGCGAAGTCCACACTACCTGTGTTTGCGTACTGCTGTTGCGCAGCTCACAACACAGCTTCTCTCTTCCAGCTACAGATAGCTGCTTTAGTGCTTCCAGTTCCTCTAAAAGCACCCTCTCTCTCTCTGAAACCAGGTGTTCATTATCTATGGAGGATCTCTAAATAAGAAAAAAGGTCGTGAGAGAATATTGTTTGCGACAGAGGAAAAGAAGCAGAGATATTAGATTTCTTTTAACCCCTTGGGACCAAAAGGCCCTGGTTTAATCTATGATTCATACACATTATAAGGAGTTAAAAGCATAGATATAATTCAATGCAAAATTTTATACTTAAATATTTAAGATTAAATATTCAGAAATTTGTGATTGTTTAATATTTTTATATAATTTTGCACTGAAATTTCAAAAGTTTGAACTCACAAAATGCAATAAGGAAAAGCAAAATTTAAAATTTCAGGTGATATATTTTATGCACAAGCCTCAATTTTCCTATTAAAATATATGAGAGAATATATTTTAAGAGTTCTCTATTTCTTTCCTTTTAACTTTAACAAATTACATTCAATAAATTTGTTTTCTAAAGAATTTTTACATATGTATTTCTTGCTTTTCTGCAGTGATTTTGTGAGTATCATATATATATATATGATCACTGTCAAGAATCCAGCCCCAAATACCAAGGATTTAAATTTAGTCAAGAAAAGGAATAAGAACATTATATAAATTTGTGTTTTCAAAATCAACAAGAGATGTTTCCCTGGAGAAAGTTCCAGAAACATACTGCTTGGGAAGATTTCATTCATGATTAAAAAGATAGATTAAAGATAGAGAAAGGTAAACCTTGGTTTGCTTGTGAACTTAGAAAACTGTAAACGAACATGGGAAATTTAACTGGTACCAACTATATACTGGAGCATCTCGGCACAAACTATTTCCAAACTTGTCAGAGCATTTTGCCAGGTATGCTCAACTGAAGTTTAAAAAAAACAAGTAAACAAAAACAATGTGGCACTCCCTTTTCCAGTATCTGAAAGGGCAGTTAAGTAAAACACTACAAAGACAGTGCACTCCAAGGCTGCATTAGGTGCTTCTAAGAAGACCTCAACATGATGTGCTGCGGGGTGGTCTGTTCCTGGTGTTAAATATTTGCTGTTTATTCAGATCTTGGCAAAATAATTTTGACTTTTCTATTTTAATTAGGGGGAAAGGGGATCGTTAGTCTCATACCTGGGCTAATTGCCTGTTAAGTCTCTGAATCTCTTCTTGTAGTTGCTCCTGGTCTTCTCGCTGTCTCTCCATCTGGTGCATGTGTGCCTGCCTTAACAACTCTGTTGCTTGTTGATGTTCTTGGTATTGCCTTACAAGCTCTTGTCTCATATCTTCTAACTGTTCTTCATTTAACATTAGCTGTCTAGAAGCATCCATGTTTGATACCAAATTCTCATCATGGATCTATAACAGTAAAAATAAATAAAAACTCAACCATAACACATTTTGTAAAAATCTGTCAGCATCAATATTTTAAACCAAATTTTGCTCCTAATCCCATAAAGTACCTGATTTTCAAGTTTCTATTACTAAACTAAAAACAAGTCCTTTTTAAGTGTTATTTTCTTAATTATAATTCCCAATAAACATGACAATAGTTTAATATCATTATACATGTTATCCTCCAAAAGTAAAATAACTATTTTTCCATCAGTTTAAATTCAGATATAATTTAATTCTAAGGGGAGAGCATATAGAAAGATATTAAAAAATCGATGCTTAATGAAGCTATAATTCTATTATTCCTCTTGACATTTTATAATGGAGAAATAATGAGTGAGATATTTATGTTTTAAAATTAAATTATACATGACAAACTTTACAGGTTATATATGCAGTTGTTAATAGTACTATAGAGAGCTGCTTGATAAAAATGATTCTCAGTATTTTATTGGGAAATAAAAGATTTGTATTCCAATTTCTCATACTCAGAATTCAACTCCTTAGTGGTTTTCAAAGAGTACTTCAATTCATGAGAACTACTGAAATGAATCATTTTGTCTTAAACGTATGTTGATAAAGAAGATTTTCATGAACACTTCATCAGTTATGAATTTAAAAAATGTTGCCAATTTTATTTGAATATGACACTGAACCAGACATAACCTATTGAACATGATAATAAAAAATTTTTAATTAAGGTAATTTTAAAAAGTAAGATTTATTACTCTGTTATAAGCAGCAATAAAGGTCAAGCACAGCTATAGAACATATCCTCCATTAATGAATAAGTAAAGAATAAGCAAATTGGGTTATAATTATTAAAATACTTTCAATTGTCTTAAGTATGTAACTACTTCCTTGCCATGTTATTACCATACTTAATTTAGTAAATAATTTATTCATAGAGTTTATCAAATTGTAGTATAATTAATCTAGAATTGGATGAAATAAAATTATGTAGGTATAACTTGAAAATGAGATTTTTACAAACCACAACGCATAAAAGACAAAATACGAACATTATGAATGAGAGCTTATAATACTAAACAAAGACACATATATCCTTTCAATTAAGAAAACATGCTAACAATGTGAATCATAAGTCAGATTTAATACAGCCCTCTTCCTCTGCAAACAGCACCGCTGCTAGTATTTTTATAGTGAATGAAGCCACCACTTTTTATGTGTTTAGTATTCAAGGAAGGCATTCTGGTTGTGCTGTGGTTAAAGTGCTTAAGGTGGTTACAGTTCAAACCCATCATAGTAGACAGGCATGGCAGTCTGTTTCCCTCAAGATTACAGCCTTGGAAACATCACGAGGCAGTTTTACTCTGCCTTACAAGGTTGCTGTGAGTTGGAACTGATTTCACAGTTGTTGTTGTTAAGCGCCGTCGAGTCAGTTCTGACCCATAGCGACCTTGTACAGGGTTTCCAAGGCTGTGAATCTTTACAGGAGCAGAATGCCTCATCTTTCTCCCGCTGAGCAGCTGGTAGTTTCGAACTGCAGGTTTATATTCAAGGAAGACATACTTACAGATTCTCCGAATGTAAAAGTTTTATCTTTGAAGAACATTTCTCCTGAAATAGCCAGTTCATGGTCCTTTGAGTCTAGAATTTCATCAAAATTATCATTACTTGATAATGGAACTTGCTTTCCATCTTCTCTTAACTCTTTACTAAGTGGTTTTAATTCTTTAAATTTCATGTCTGCTGTTTCAAGAGTCTCAAAATCAACATGGTCCTGTGATAATTTTACTTCACTTAAAGTATGGTGTTCATCTTGCTGACAGAGAGCATGTGGCTGCTTTGATGATGCGGTATCCTCTTTTTCCCCAGAGAGTCTACACAGTTCAGTTTGTTGAGCAAATGCTATACTCATTGACACAATGACCTAAAGTAATAAAACAAACATAAAAGGATTCGATTTATCAACAGCAGCAGGAATTTAAAAAGCAAGTTACCATTCAAAATTATGTGGATTAAGAAGCAAGTATGGCCTTACAGCTTTCAACAAAAAGAAATTCTAGAATAAAGTGATACAGTGATGAAGATTCTCTACTTGTAATCTAATATCTATGTATTTATTTTGCCTGCCCTTTAAAATTAAAAAAAAAAAATTTTTTTTCTTACTACAAAAGCAATACATATGCATTCAGTACAGAAACTAGAAGCCATTATATTTCTCCTGTCCATGAAAAATAACTATTATACTTTTCCAAGTATTCCTCTTTGTGTTGTTAAGTGTCATCGAGTCAGTTCCGACTCATAGTGACCCTATGTAGGATTTCTGAGATGTAGCCGGTGAGTTTGAACCACTGACCTTGCAGCTCAAACCACTTTGCGGTCAAGAGCTTATCCTATAAGGCCACAATAGATATAAATATGAATCGATAGATACATGAGGTTTTTTTCCTTACAAAATACGATGGTGGTGGTGGTAATATGCCATTGAGCCGGTTCTGAGTCATAGCAACCCTGTATAGGGTGTCCGAGGCTGTAAATCTTTACGGAAGCAGAAAGCCTCATCTTTCTCTGGCAGAGTAGCTGGTAGATTTGAACTGCTGACCTGTGGTTAGCAGCCCAGCTATTAATCCACTATGCTACCATACTCTAATATTTTAATCTGCTTTTACAGCTTAACTATACAAAACTTGTTGTTACCAAGTTAACTCTAACTCATAGCAACCCTACCTTTTCTATATGATTTTAAATGAGTTCAGAGTTTCATATCATATAGATGTCATGTAAATATAATCAATCATTTCTCTATAGTTGGACACTTAGACTGCTTGAGGCTGTGGGTTACCGCGCTGGACTGCAAAGTCTGTTTGAACCACAAGGTCAGCAGTTCAAGCTCACCAGTCGCTCCTCTGAAATCCTGTACAGGGTCTCCATGGGTCAGAACTGACTGGATGAAACTTAACAACAACAACAACAACAATGATTAAATAGTGGACTGCCAGAAGAACAAACAAATTTGTGTTGGAATGCTCTTCAGAAGCTAGGATGCCGAGGCTTTCTCCCTCATACTTCAGACATATTATTAGGAAGGAATAAATCCCTGGACATTATGCTTGGTAAAGTGGAGGGTCAGCAAAAAAGTGGAAGATCCCCAAGATGGACTCACACAGTGGCAGCAGCAATGGGCTCAAGCATAACAAGAACTGTGAAGATAGTGGAAGACCAGACAGTATTTCGTTCTGTTATGCATAGGGTCACCTGGAGTCAGAACTGACTCGATGGCACCTAACAATGAGAACAAATGATTATATAGGAGTCCTGCTGCAGTACTGAAGGATAAGAACTGGACTGCAAGGTGGACAGTTCAAACCCACCAGGTGCTCCTTGGAAACGTTAGACAGGGTTTAAGGTTGATTTAACTGAGTCGATTTAACAACAACAACATGATTAAATATTTGTTAACTATATCACTGAGTATATGCTTTCTAATTACCTTAGGACAGATGTCATGAAGTAAAACACATACTGGTTTTTATGAGTTGTAAATATTATTATACATTTCAATCTAATCCAATTTGACTTTCCACTGTAACTAAAAGCCTGAATCTCTGCTTATTTTAGTCCCATGCAGCATGGATACTTAACTAACCAGCAGATTTGGCTCTGAGAAGTCCCTAAACTTTTGAGAATCAACTGTACCAATGACTTTATTTCAAGTCCTATCTTTACAAATAATTTGCCTAGGGGAAAGACTGCCATAAACCCAAGAATCAAGCCTTCCTGGGGGAGAGACCTTTGTGCCTACTGACCTTCAGCTTCCTCTCACTGTTTTCCCTGTTGGTCCAGGATGTATGACTAGGCTTTTACTTTCATTTCCTGTCTTGAACCTGATTGGCCTATCTGGGGTCCTAATCCCCACCTGGTTCTAGCTAGCCTCTTTCCATGCCGAATGCTGTGTCCACCAAATGAAGAATAGAGTTCTGCTTCAATAAAAATAGTACTGGTGGTAACAAAACAAACAATCAAAGAAGCAATAATTTATTAAGACATTGTTTTATCACATTTAATCCTCAATAGACAGCACTTAACAACAACAACAATGTACCCTAATTTGGAGTCCTGGTATAGTGCTGTGGGATAAAGCACTGGACCACAAGGTCGGTAGTTTAAACTCACCAACTGCTCCTTGGAAACCCTATACAGGGTCACTATGAGTCAGAACCCACTCAACAGCAATTTTTAACAACAACATACTCTACCTGAAGTCTTAGTGTGGCACTGCAGAATAAGCACTGGACCACAAGGTCAGTTTGAACCACAAAGTCAGCAGTTCAAGCTCACCAGTCACTCCTTGGAAACTTTACACAAGGTTACTATGAGTCGGAACTGACTCAATGGCACGTAACAATGGCAGTGTAGGATAAGCACTGGACTGCTAACCACAAGGTCAGCAGTTCAAACCTACTAGTCATTTCTTGGAAACTATACAAGGGCACAATGAGAACAATCTTGAAGCCACTAACAACAATGACATATGCTACCAAGGAGTCTTGGTGTGGCACTGTAAGAAAATGTGGTAGACTGTAAGGACTGTTTGAATCACAAGGTTGGTGGTTCAAAGCCACCTTAAAAACCCTGTACTGGATCACTATGGTTCAGAACTGACTCAATGGCACTTAACAATAACAACACCACCAAGAAGCCCAGGTGGGCCACTGGGTTAAGTGTTGGGCTGCTAATCGAAATGTTGGCAGTTCAAACCCACAAGCCACTCCACAGGATAAAGATGAGGCAGTCTGTTTCTGTAAAGAATTATAGCCTCAGAAACCCTATAAAGTGGTTTTATCCTGTCCTTTATGATTACTATGAGTTGGAATAGACTTATACCCTACCAGGCAGGTACTATTACCACCCCATTTAATAGATGAGGAAACTAAAGAGGAAAGAGGTTAAATAAGTATGCTGACCCCAATACACAAAACAAATAAATGGTGGACGCTAGGGTTTGAAATCCTTCCGTCTTAATCACAGCTCACCTTCTAAAATGTAATTATATGATTACCTCCATATTGGAGCAAACCTGTCTAGGAATGTACAGGAAAATTGACATAGAAGAGTAATTATAATACTAATAACCAATGTGGAGAAAATTGAGGACTAGCAAAGTTAAAACCATGCCACATATTTAAAAAGATGGTAGAGCAGAAATCTGAATCACAGTGTACAGAGCTCAAGTCCCTTAAATACTGTCTGTTGTGTTGCTTCTGCCCAACATTTTATTAAATAAAAACAAAGAGTTGATTCCCAACAGATGCAAAAAGGATTAGTACATAAAGAAATTTGGTCACTATGTGATTCAATCCCAATATTGATAGCGTAAAGCAAAAATAATTCTACCTAAGTTATGGGATAATAAAAAATAGAGATTTACAATACCTAGCAGCAAAAAGTAAGCTCTACATAGCCTCTTTCTCTCACTTAATACTGAAAACTCTCAACAGAATACAGAAAGCAACAACCTGAGAATTCCATGGTTTGGAAAAATAAAAAATAAAAACAGAACTATACCAATAAAATCAACTCTCCTGTTATTTTTCCCTTCAAGGCTCCTCTAACAAAAATCCACTTCTGTTTAAAACTAACTGCGTACTCTTTGGCTGTGCCTGTGTATCTGTTGTTGTTAAGTGCTGTGAAGTAGGTTCTGACTTATAGTGACCCTTGTATGGTTTCCGAGACTTTAAATCTTTGAGGGAGCAAAAAGCTTCATGTTTCTTCTTTGGAGTGGCTGGCGGGCTGAACTTTATTTTACTAGGGAGAAAAATAACAACCAAGTGCTTAGTGATACTAGAAGGCATTCTACTAGATTTCCTTGTAGTCTATTCATTTCTTATTCCTTTTCCTAAACACCCTTTCCTCTCTCCTTAAAATCCCAATGCCTCCTCTTTATCATTCTCAAGTGGTAACTTCTTCCTTCAGTGAGAAAATAGGAGCAATAAGAAAAAAACACAGACTTCTATTACCACATCAAAAAACACACGGAAATCACGAAACTATTCTCTGCGTTCCTTCCTGTTATACCAGATATGTGCTGATATGGTTATCTGTTTCTGGTTTGGGGGCATATTCAGGAGTTATCTGTGGCCTTAATACTTACATTGGTGTATATTTTGGTATTTTTTTATGCTTTCTGATTGCCTCCACGTAGATGTGATCAGAAGATGAACTTCCTTTTTCACTCTTCTTCCTGAGAAATTTCAAGATGCCACTGCTGGTGGTTGTGATGTAAGTCAGGATTTAATTTTTGGCCTATTTCCTTTTTAGTCTGCCTGTCCCACTCCACAATCATCATTCAGGCCTTTTTTTGCCCAGCGATAAACAGTTTGGGGCCGGTGGTGGCAGTTTTGCACCGCCATTTGGTTTTAAGTGGAAACTGTCACTTTAAATTTTGAGGAGATCTGTGCACATGTATAGTTGAACCTTCGGGGGTGGGGCTGATGTGTCCACTTGCTCAGGCACCCCCTCTAGTCACCAGAATGGAGGTGTGCAGACAGCGAGAGACCAATGAACAGATATAAAAAAAGAGACTGTCCACACCTTTTATTTCCACGGTTCTGTCAGGCATCCATGGCTGCTTGATCCTTCCCCAGCTTGATCTCGCTGAAGATGGTGGCTCTGGGAGCAGCTGAGTGTCTTGAATTAGAAAGCACTGGATTGCTTGCTTCTGCTACAAATTCCTCTAGCTGTAAGCCTTCCGACCTTCAAAATATTCCTTTATATGTAGTACAGAGTTTTGGCACCATCCCATGAGCCTGCTTGGCCTGGTATTCTGTGTTGTTGCTGACAAGAGCTCCTCACTGTACTTCTACCCAATTCGTCATCTTGTTTGTTCTCTCTTGACCTTTTTTTTTTTTTTTTTTAATTTAAGGTTTTTATTGTGGATTGAGTGAAAGTTTACAGGGCACATCATCAGTTTCACATTCAACAATTCAT